AATTTGGGGGAAGATTCAAACCAAACAAATCTTCTTTGGGAAATGAAAAACCAAATCAGTGTAAAGGAAGATGACTGACAGTAGTCAAGGAGAGGAGATATTTGGGAACAGCAGTAGTTGTTATTTATTGTGTCTTTGTAAGAAACCACCAAATGCTTCCAATAAAATTGGAACTTCAGGCCAGAAAAGGAACAGAAAGTGAATGAATGTTGGTCCCAATGAGTTATTTGTACCCCAAAGTGGCCACTCGTGACAGAAGCAGTGAGCATTTCACCAATTTCCATGGTGTGAATGATTATTTTATTCTGTAGTGTCACCCCAGGTCACCTGGAGCTGTTTTTTGTGAGTCCTGCCCCTCGTTCTGGGGGTTCCAAAATACCTTATTACACTGATCATTGTGTTCTGGGGGTTCTAAAATACCTTATTGCACTGATCATTGTGTTCTGGGGGTTCCAAAATACCTTATTGCACTGATCATTGTGTTCTGGGGTTCCAAAATACCTTATTACAGCTGATCATTATGTTCTGGGGGTCCAAAACACCCCGTTACAACTGATTGTGTTCTGGAATCCCAAAATACTTTATTACACTGATCATTGTGCTCTGGAATCCCAAAACACCCCGTTACAGTGATCATTGTGTTCTGGGGGTTCCAAAATACCTTATTATAACTGGTCATTGTGTTTTGGGGGTTCCAAAATATCTTATTGCACTGATCATTGTGTTCTGGAATCCCAAAATACCTTATTGCACTGATTATTGTGTTCTGGGGGTTCCAAAACACCCCATTACAGCTGATTGTGTTCTGGAATCCCAAAAACACCCCATTACACTGATCATTGTGTTCTGGAATCCCAAAAACACCCCGTTACAGTGATCATTGTGTTCTGGAATCCCAAAACACCCCGTTACACTGATCATTGTGTTCTGGAATCCCAAAATACCTTATCATACTGATCATTGTGTTCTGGGGGTTCCAAAACACCCCGTTACAGCTGATTGTGTTCTGGAATCCCAAAAATACCCCGTTACACTGATCATTGTGTTCTGGAGTCCCAAAACACCCCATTACAGTGGTCAGTGTGTTCTGGGATCCCAAAACACCCCGTTACAGTGATCATTGTGTTCTTGAATCCCTAAATACTTTATTACACTGATCATTGTGTTCTGGAATCCCAAATTGTGTTTTGGGATCACAAAATACCCCGTTACAGCTGATGTGGCAGCAGAACAGGGAGATGGACCCGTGCCATGCAGGGTCCTGCCCATTCCTTCTGTAATGATTGTGTGATACTGATGCTTAAAGGACCAAATTCCCTGCTCAGCCAGTGAAGTTGATCAAATGGGGTAAAACAGGAAGGAATGTTTCATCAGGAAAGGAAATGTATAAAGACAGAGCCATAGATTGTAGATACAAATGGGATATTTCACCCTTAACACAAGAGGGGCGAGGGAAACCCTGACAAATCTGATCCCTGGTGTTTACAGGGGCTGCAATCCTGCATTTATCGTGCTGCCACATGAAGCTTTGCTGCCAGATCATCACGGAGACATCTCAGAAAATAGTTACRTTAATTATGAAATTGAAGTTGGAAAAAGTTCACTAATTAGCTGTGAAAAGCTGGGGCAGTTGAACTCCTCTTTGGGGTTCATGAAGTTGGGAAGATCAGCCCTCATTKTCATCAGCTTTGCCTCAGGGCAAAAAATTCAAAAAATTCTTTGAAGACTCAAAGTGTCCTGATCCTGAAGCAACCTTACACCCAGAGCTTATTCAGAAATGTGTTTAGGAATATGACATCTTGAGCTCATTCAGAATCGTGCAGATATGATTTATATATTTTAATATCAGACACGAATGTGACTCACTTGGAAGCTGCAGAGAGCTGATCATTGAGGCTACAGATCATTAGACATTCAGAAAGAAAATAAAATTTAACTCAAGATGACAGCTTGATCAGCATGCCACTGAATAGGTCAAAGTCTGCTCTRAAAGGGCACCTCTTTCATCAAAATTAATGCAAGGAAGGCAACCAGTTCTTGCACTCTGATATGGCAGAGGCAGAAGTGGCTGTGAAAAAATAGGACATGTGTTGCAGAATTGCTCTTYTGAAGGAAAAACCTTCCAAACACTGTGGAATAATTGTAGAAGGAGGTGCAATGTGAGCTTGTTTGGTTAATCTCTGAGGAATTAATGATTCTCTCTTGTTCTTATAGTACAGAGGGAGTTTTATTATTGATTTCAGTGAGTAAAAAAAACAGGTCCTGTTTGAGCAACTGGAGTGATTAAGCAGTTCTTGWATGGCTGTATGTCAGCCAATCATCCTTTTAACAATTCTCTTAAGGAAAGATTTTCACCACCTTTGGTTATCCCAACATAAATTTTTTATATCCAATCCCTATAAACCTTCCCTGGATTTCACCAGTCCCAAGCAGAGGGAAAGAAGGAACATGAATGCTAAAAGTTCAGAACCTGTTGAATTCAATGAAGTTTCTACGAAGATATATTTTGTCTTAAAGAACTAGACATTAAGATTCCCCATGTTCTATGGGAAAAAAAGGTTAATAAGAAAGGAAAAGATGCAAAGAGAATTTTTAAACCCTGTTACAAAACAGCAAATGTGAAGAGTGTAAAGGCAGAATTCCCTGGCATGATGTTGAGTTACACAGCTCACAGGGTTGTTTCTAATATCCTAAATATCCTAAACAAAGGGATGTCACCTGCTAATTCTGCTGAGAGGAAAGGCACCACATTAAAGAAAAAAATCCAACTGTGAAAATTCACGAGCAGTGGATGCAAAGCAGCACAAACTTGATAAAACCAAGCAGAGGAATGCTCAGAAAAATCAGCTCTGTTTATGGAGAGATTAATCTCCAGCAATCCTGGATGGGATGCATACAGGGGATCTCGTGCATGAACACGTGGGCACAGCCCTTGTTTTGCCTCTAGAAATGCTTTACATAATGAGTTAATGTTCATTTTCAAACAGAGAAACTAGACACAGAGGGAAGAAAACACCTTGCCCAAGCTTGCCCAGTAAAAGTGTGACAGATGAGAAAAGAACATTCATTTCCTCATTTCTCTGGCTGCCTTCTGCCCTATTTCTGTAGATCTTTGGTCAGCACCTGTAAATCTTTCCCTAGTTATACTGTACCTTATCTGATTCATATTGGTCAGCAGATTCAGTAATCATCTCTAATTTGTGAACAGTTTCCATGAAACAGCCATATATCATATCAAGGATCAAATGAGGCAGGTCAAAATCCTTACCTTTACACTGGCCTGGCATCACATTTGTGGGCTGTGGGTGCCATGGGCACTGCTGCCAGCCTGGCCCAGAGGGTTCTGCCTTGCAGACTGCAGGGA